CTTCATATTTCTGAGGTTGTTTTATTCAGAAATAACCTTTTCATTTTCCAGAAATCTCAGTGAAAATTACATCACTGAACTACATAAGGATTCCTTTGAAGGCCTGCTGTCCCTCCAGTATTTGTAAGTTATTTAATCATATTTATTTGTGAGTTTTAAGTTATCTGTAAAATGAGGAGGGAGTTCAAATTAGATATTCTCCAAAATCTCTTCCTGCAATAAAATGCTACATTTCTGCAAGTCTATGTAGATCTGAATCTCCGTGTATCATCACATACCCTATATGCATTTTCACTTTTTAAACCATAGAGACCAAATACAAATGGGAAAAACTCCTCTTACAGAGGAAAAGTGATCATAAGACCTGAGGATTTACTGATGCTGATATGAACCTTGTTTTATACATGTTTTCATGTGCCATTGGCTTGTATTTATATTTCCCCTATGGGCCATGGATCAAACTGATCAGCTGTCCGTTTTTATAAGCTTGTAAATCAGTTATGGTTTTTCTGTGTTTTAAACTGCTGTAAAAGAAAAGGAAAAAATAACCCAAAGATATACAACAGAGACTGTATATGTTCTGCAAATGTACAAATATTTGCTATTTGGCATTTACAAAAAGTTCAAAAAAGTTTAATTAGAACAAAAGAATTAAAGTTAAATTTAAAGTGGTGCCCAGAGGAGAAGAAAATACCGTATAATCCACACGTTAAATGAATGCCATTAACCCAGAGTGGTTGGACCATTCAATCTGAATTAACACTTAAGTATTAAAGAATTTGCTAAGCAGGTAAATTGTAATAGTATTATCCAGATGGTTACACTACCAGAAGAATTGACTGCCAGTATTTCAATGCAGGAATTGTTACACCCATGTTAAAAACAAGTGTTTAAAATGAAGGTTAAACTGGGTGTGGTGGCACATGCCTGTAATCCTAGCACTGGGGAGGCTGAGGCTGGAGGGTCGTTTTGAGTTTGAGACCAGCCTGGGCTACAAAGTGAGCTCAAGGCCAGCCTGAACTGCATAGCGAGATCCAGTCTCAAAAGACCCAAAAAAGAAAAAGATTAAATAGTATGCAAGAAATGTTTACACTCTGCATAGAAAAGCCTGTCTTCACTAATAACAATAAAAATCTCTGTAACCTTGTTGTAAAGGAGGAATCATTTGCATAGTATTTTTTATCTCTTCAGAGAAAAGAAGATATTATCTTCCTTGGTGTGAAAGCTCATGTTTTATTTTTATCCGGAAGGTCCAGAAATGTAAATGTCATTAACCCTAATTAAGTTAATTGATGATGTTTTAGCAAATGGAGCTTTCTTTCAAATGTGGAAGTCTTAAAGAAAATGGACCTCAAGAACCTACATGATATGGGCCTAAAAATGGTCTCTGGAATTATGAAATTTGCTAGGTCCTAAGGCAGTGGTGGCAAACCTATGACATGCTTGTTTTCTTTTAAAATAAAAGATGTTAAGGAATGAGTTGTTTTTTCTAAACTAAAACCTCAATATTCAGGATTAATTGCAGTGTTGGCACTTTGCGATAAATAAATGAGTTTTGGGTTGCAGTTTGGGCAGTAGTCCCTCAAAGGTTTGCCAGCACTGCCCCAAGAGATGCCAGTTTGTTATTGATTTTCTTGAGCACCTTTGTCATCTGGGCTCCCAAATCATACAAACAGG